TACTGTTTCTTGTGCGTAAGTTTGCTGAGTGAAAACCAACTCGATGGCATCTAACAATGACAAAGGCAGACAGTGCCAACAAAGAAAGGAAAAACTGTAGTGTTATATTTATAACTTTATTGCAGTGCTACTAAAAGGAAAGTAATGATTTATAGTCTAAAGTTTAGTTCAGAGGTGAGAGCTTCCTGGAATTTACTGTAGTTAAAATATGCTCTAGAAATATACTGCAGGATATTTTTTCTGTCAGTTGCAACACATACTAAATTTCCACTGAGTCATCTCAGGCTCATGGATTAACTCACATGTCTTCAATTTTTTTCGTAAGCTTGCCTTTAGGTGACAGGGTTTTCTTCTCATGCTCAAAGGTCTTCTGAGCAGGAAAGACCTCAGAAGTTGATGACTTATTGGTATCTATGTGCATTAAAACCATGCAGTGGCACAGATAAGGAACCCTGGCAGCATGATGTTTAGCATCTGCTTGACTTAGCCAAAAGGTTTGCAGTTCAAATCCATTAAGTGTTCCTAGAAAGAAAGATGTGGAATTCTGTTTAAAGATCCTAGCCTTGTGAGCAACACTGTGAGTCAGTTTCACTCTGTTCTATCAGGTTGTTATGAGTTAGAATTAATGCAAAGGCAACATAATGCATGGCACCAATTTTGTGCTACCACGTCATCCTGTTTCTTCCTTCCTTCCCGTTCTGTCCTTGTTCCCTGACCTCTGCAGATATTGACGAATGCTTGGACAACAGATGCCACCCTGCAGCTACCTGCTATAATACTCCTGGTTCCTTCTCCTGCCGTTGCCAACCTGGATATCATGGGGATGGATTTCAGTGTGTGCCTGGTAAGGTTTTAGAGGCCAAATTAGATGCATAAAATAGACTCATTCTTTAATAGTTATCATAGCAATAGAGCACCTTCTTATTTTCTATACATCTAAGATTTCAGTTAGGAGCTCTGGAGACATGGTGGGTTAAACATTGGGCTGCTAATCCAAAAGACTATAGTTTGAACCTCTAGTGACTCTGCAGGAGAAGGATGAGAGTTTGGCTTCTTAAAGATTTATGGTTTTGGAAACCCTGAATAGCAATACGAGTCTGTCCTATTGGTTTGTTATGAGTTGCTGTTAACTTGATGCCAGGGGGTTTGGGTTAAAAGTGTTTGAGTTGGTAGCTTTTCCAAGTTCTAGAATTTGTCCCAGTTAGCTCCTGGTGCCTTGTTTATTGTTAAGGCCAAGGGGAAAAACCAAAGAGTTGCCCCGGAATCAGTTCTGACTCATGATGACCCCTCGTGTTGCAGGGGAGAACTGTGTTCTGTAAGATTTTCAAGGCTGGGGTCTTTCAGTAAGAGATCAATCATTAGGGCTTTCTTCTGAGGTACCAAGGAATGGGCTCAAACCACTAATATTTTAATGGTCAAATTCTTAGCTGTACCACTCAGGATTCTTGGGTTTATTCTTATCCATTTCACTAATTATTAGAATTTGTAGAAGGCTTGAGTATGACCCATTCAATATCTCTCATCCTTTGCCTTGAAGAATACTAGGTTAGGGGGTTGAGGACATCCTTGACCACACACCAGCAGAAGTCACTCTGGCCATGGCACTGCAGGGGGATGAACTGGCCCAGGTCATCACAATGGGGCGCGTACTGGTCATGGAGCACCTGTGTTGACTGCTGTAGGGTGGCCTGGTCAGCACAAGGTAGTCCAGTAACCACCATTGATTGACATAGTTCTTCATGTTTAAACTCTGGATCCAGGAATGAATGGGCTTTTATTTGTTTCCTCCAAAGACTCTTGAGATGTTTGGGCAGAAACTATGGGTTGTTTTCCTTTCATTCAGACTGCAGTCAGGTACTGAACACTGACTGAGAGAGGCTGCTTTACTCTTCATAATAAACTAGGGATTTACAGGGTGAAATTTGAAAATTTTCTGTTACTAAATGGGGATGAAGGAGATTGACAGTGAAAGAAAGAAAGTAAAAACCTAGGACTCCAAAAATCCCAGGGCATTGCTGTATTATGTAAGAAATTGTTGTTGTTGTTATTGTTAGGTGCCATTGAGTCTAGACAACTCATAGCTACTCTGTGAATGTAAGGCCTGAACACTTGTATAACTTTAATCATTTCTCCACATTCATAGAGTTACCAGAGGCAAGCTATTTTGGAAGCAGATGCCACCCCTGCTGCCAAACTTATTTTAATCGGGGAGCTCCATCAAACACTGGCAGAAATTATGAGATTCTAAACACGCAGCCAAAGTTTATGGACCAACAAAACTTTATTGCACATGGTCAAGAATGTCAGCTAATGCTCAAATCATCCTGACCCTGAAGGGAAGCAAAGATCGAGTTTAAATACAAACATTGGGGTTGGGGGGGAGTGTTACACAAAGTTCATTGTGGTTGGCAGTTGAGACTTCACATTCGTGAGTTATTATTGTTTCTGATTTCTCATGGGTGTCCAGACCCTGGGCCAGGTGCAGAGGGAGTGGGAACAAAATTACCTCCCAGATGCTAACATATAAAATGGCTTCTCTAATGTTTAACATAGAAGCTGTTACTATAGCTGTTTTTCTCCTATCTTGCTGTCTTATAGTTGTAGAAAACAATTATCAGCACAGGAGACTTTGAGGTTGCCTTGAGAAAAATGCGTAAGTTGCAATGCCTTTCATTTCTCCCTTTCTCTACCTCTGTCCGGGACCCTGAAGACATCGTCTCGGGACTGAAACCCTGTGAACACCAGAGGCGCTCTGCCCAGGCGCAGCCTTCTTACCCTGGGTCCTCGTTCCACATCCCACAGTGTGATGAACAGGGTAACTTCCTGCCCCTGCAGTGTCACGGCAGCACAGGATTCTGCTGGTGTGTGGATGAGGCTGGACATGAAGTCCCTGGCACCCGGACTCCCCCAGGCTCCTCTCCGCCTCATTGCGGAGCACCAGGTGAGACAACCAGGAGTCTTGTTCCATCTTAGGCCCTGAGTTCAAGAAGCCTGAAGACACTGGTTGTGAGGCAGACCAGTCAGACTCGAGACCATGCAGTATCCTTTCACAATCTACTTTCTCCTGTTGTGTTTGCTGTGACTCGTGGTGTCTCCCATATACAACAGAACCAAATGTTAACCTGTTCCTGTAACATCTGAACAATCATTGATATTCCATTGTTGTGGCCACCATGTATTTTGACTGCATTTTAACCTAGGATACTCACCTTCTGTTATAAAACCTGACTATTTTGTTGTGACCCATAGGGTTTTCACAGGATAGCTTTCAGTAGTAGATTATCACGCCTTTCTTTCTTGTCTGTCTTGATCTGGAAGCTCTGCTGGCACTTGTCCAGTATTGGTGGCTCTGCTGATATTTGAAATATCAATGGCATGATTTCCAGTATCATTGTAACATGCACGTCACCACAGAACAACTAATTTTACAGATATGTGATGCCTCCTTCCTCCTGGGAAGAATATCTAAACACTTTTATGTGCAGTCATGTTGTAGAGACATAGAAATATGTGTATACATAACATAGTCAATCTATTATACACTGGATTCCATATCCTTAGACCCTTACTAGTAGTGCACATGTGGGAGTTTAGATTGAATGTGTACATCAGGCTGAGTGCACTGCCCCAGATGTGTTATGGTAATTTAGAGCTGGAAAATCTTTCCAAACTATCCTTTTACCGAGAAGGAAAACTGCCACCTTGTATCTTGCTTAACTGTGCCTTCTGAATGGCAGGGAACGCTGAGGACAATATTAATGTCAATAGGAAAAATAAGTATAACTCTTGTAGGTGGATTTACCAGTGTGTTCTAAACTGGTAACTCTAATCCTCTCTTGTTTAGCTCCATAAATCAGTTGGGAGTTCTTATTGCCCCAGCCACATTCATATTTTGGAATAAAATTTCTAAAGAAACAAAACCAATAACAGCAAAAAAAAAAATAGAGAGAAAATTCTGTTTCACTCATACATTCTCTCCTTTAGAACCTCCTGTTTCTAAATCCATCAGGGCTCTAAAAAATATCAAATGATGTGGAGATGTTTTATTAGAATTCTATTAAGACAACATGTGTTAAGGACAGTAACTCAAAAGAGATCTAAGAGTTTGAGAAGTTAATAACTACAATGTGGATATGGCGGGGGGCGGTTGTGCAAACTCTTTCCTGAGGAACTAGACTTCTCTCTTGGGACTAGGTTGGTCTTGGAAACATTTAGCACTCTTTTTATCTGTATAATTGGGTCAGAATTGAGGAGAATGACAACAATTTGTTGCCTTGATTCCAAAAATACTTAAAACCTTGCCAACCAGAAATGAAGAGCAGGGCTTCAAACCCACTTGAACCAGTTCAATCATGGCTCATGAAGTAAAGAGACCTAGATTTTTAAAATTTTAGTGATCTAGAATGCTAACCAGCATTGGGAAAATGATGGATTGAAGACATGGAATGGATTGGAAAAACTTCAGAACAGGTAGAAAGAATCCATTTTAGAAGACTGAAATTATATGACATTCAGTTCTTCCTAGGATCGTGAAAACATTCAAAGCAGCATGGTGGGCTACCGTCTTTAAGTCGGAAACCATTGTTTTTTAACTCAGCTAGACAAGAGATTTGCTTGCTATGTACCATGCACACTAGCCTTGTTTTCTAAGAGGAAGATTAAATATCTAGCAGGGCTTCAGACTCTAGTTTTTCCTTTTCGCATTTGTGTTCCATTTCAACCACATTTGACAAATTTAGATCTGCTCCAGTTTTACTTCATTGGCAATGACAAATCTGGGCTGAACTGGCATGAAGCCCTGCAGAAAAGTAATACATCAATGATTGGGCTAAGAAATAAGTAGCTTCATATAGTAAGGAATGAGGTGGATGCACATATGTATCTGATTTGATTCAGCTATGTGTCTGCATTCCACATGACGAGGTCTGCCTCAGTGGGTGGCCCCTTGAACCAAAAAGGATTCCTCTGAGTTAGAATTAATGGAATCCACTTCAGGGAGTCACACCTTTGGTTGATGACTAGTGTTTAAAGAAGTGGCGTTCCCTGTGACACATTTGAAGGAGACAGATTCTTTCTTCACAAAGTCTTAAAAAAGATCATGAGATAGAGTGGAATCACCAAGTGAGTCTTGTGATTGAGCTAGGTAGGGTTGATCTTGAAGGAGTTTATCCACCATCTTCCTGACATCCCAGAGAAATTGGAGGTGTGTTGACCCAATCATAATGCTTACATCCTTGGCCTTTGAAGCCATTGAAGTATTTTGTGCAAAAGAGTGACACTAAATGGCTTAGTGTTTTTAAAGGGACTGTTCTGGCTGCTGGTTGAGCCTACACTGGGTAGTGGGAGAGGGTGCAGGTTGAGGAAGAAGAGAATGGAAGCAGGGAAACCAATGAGGAGACTATCAAAAGATGATAAGAGTTTGATCAGTCTGCAATAAGGCAGGAAGTAGCAAGACAGGAAGATATTGCACCTGTGTTTTAGAAGTAGAGCTGGCCAAATTCCTTGACATATCAGATGCAAAGACTGAGAACAGACAGAGGCATCAAGAATGACTCCAGGTTGGGCGTCTGAGTAATCAAAAAATGGAGGTATAGTTTCCAGATATGGACATGACCCAGTGTAGAGCAGGTTTGATAGGAAAAACAATGACCCAGTTTTTGTTAGCAGTACCCTGAGATTCCCTATAATATATAAATGGGAACGTCAAGTCCGTTTTTATGTACATGAGTTAGGAGCCCATTGACTCTGAAATGCAAGAATTAAAAAGGAAGACAGACCTCTTTATTTTGTTGGTATTGTTAAGGATATACCATTTCTACATTTACAACTCAGTATTCTGCAACCCTTCTCACCCTCTTTTTCTGAGTTCCATCCTTTTTACCATAAACTCCTGAGTTTCCTATCTTAACATTTCAAGCTCCTTTTTTATCCCATATAGACAGATCTTACAAAAACACAATGTTCAAGACAGATGGCCTAGTGGATAAGAAGTTGCACTGCCAACCCAAAGGCAGGTGGTTTGAATCCACCAGTTGCTTTTCAGGATAAAGATGAGACATCTCCTCCGATGTAATTTACAACCTCTGAATACCCAGGGGAAGGTCAGCTATGAGTCTGTTCCAGCTTAATGGGAATAATGACAGAGAAGGAGTGATGCTAGACTCAGGGGATATTTTGGTGGAGGGAGGGATGGGCAAAGGAAAGGGGAAAGATTCAGTGTGAAAAACAATACATGCAAACTTTATGAACTTTGAAAGTAAACCAGTATAAAATAAAATGTAAATTTTTTTTTAAAATGTAAAGATTATCTCAGGGCAATAATTTCAGGGATTTATCCATCCTCTGTGGCTTTAGAAAGAGATACCTCTTTTTATTTAAGGTCCTTGAGGTAATACTATAATAAATGGATGGAAAAGTTACCTTAACAGGCAAGTCATGTGCTGTTTAGAGCATACCTCTGATCACAACATTGGTGAAAACTGCTGGCAGCTAAACTTCTCTACCTGAAAAGCTCATTGGAGTTTAAATCCATGTTTTTAACCTGATCACCCAGGTTCAATTATGGCTGATGAAGCAAAACTGGAATGGAACCAAATCTGTAAAATGTTAGTGAGTCAGAATAACTGGAATGGAAACATTACAAGTTGAAGCCCTGATAGAAAATCTCCCTCTTGGAAAATAAGGGCAGCATACACACTGCACAGCAACCACATCTTTTCAAAAGTTGAGTCAGAAACAACGATGCCCGGCTCAACAATGGCGGCCCACTATGCCACTTTGAATATTTATCACTCTTCACCATCCTGGCAATAATCTAACTTCACCCGTTCAGCTCCTAAAAAGGCTCAGTGTGCCTCTCCTTAAGTCTTCCACTTAAGAGCTCCAGCCTCTCATTTTTCCTCTTCCAGTTGTCATTCTGCTTCAGTCAAGTTTTAGAAATCCATGTCTGTTCAAATTTCACTTCTTTGGCCTTGACTCAATTAGTCATCCTAGTTTGAAGCTGTGTCTTAAACAATGTGGTGAGCTGTCAGGGAGGGATAGGGAGATGCTATTGAAGAAAGATGCAAAAGAATGAGGCAGGAAGCTGGAACTAGCTGAGAAATATTACATTTTGAGGTACTTGCAGGAACCCTGAAGCCAAAAAGATTTCCAGGAATTGCAAGTCAGAGTCAGTTTTGTTTGCCACTATCTTTGCATATATGTACATATTACCTCACAATTATACTTTCACTCAGTATGATTTTCCAATGTACAGATATTAGGGTCACATATGCAGGGCACTCAGTAAATACTTTCTAAGATGCATACTGGACACTCTAAGGAGAACCCTCTTATAAGCAAAACCTGGAGCTTGAAGCATGTGAGAAAAAAGTATAATAATTCGTTTGACCATTCTTTTGGCCACTATGTTCCCGAGAAGAGCGGGTGTGAATTCTCTGTCAGCAAAGGCCACCTGGACCCAAGCAGCATGGTGCTGTGGAACTCTATCTCTTCTAGGTCTAGTGAAACCTACACCTCTAATCTTCTCACCCCTTGCTGTGACTGAGCCTTAATGACAAGCCCTTCAGACCTAGGGAGAGCTTTAAGACAACCCCTTTTCCTGAACCTTGCAGAGAACATCTTTTCCACTTGGCCCAGCATCCAGAGACTGGCCAGACAGTTCATTAGCAGACTTTAGAAGCAGGGAGATCTTGAGTGTACACATTGCATCCTGTCCTTGGCTCACAATCAAAGTTTTTCCTTCTCCGTCTGCTCAGAGCCCACCGAGAGGCCCCGAACCGTCTGTGAGCGCTGGAGGGAAAGCTTGCTGGAGCACTATGGTGGTACAGCCCGTGATGACCAGTACGTGCCCCAGTGTGACGACCTGGGCCAGTTCATCCCCCTGCAGTGCCATGGCAAGAGTGACTTCTGCTGGTGTGTGGACAAGGACGGCAGAGAGGTGGAGGGCACTCGCTCCCAGCCGGGCATCACCCCTGCATGTAAGCACAACTCTCACTCATGTACTTGCCTCTGAGGGCTTACTTACTCTGAAGAGAAAGTTGCCTGCCATGGTTGAAGGAGGGAAGTATGTTGTTGTTGTTGTTAGGTGCCATCGAGTCAAGTATGATTCGCAGTGACCCTATGAACAGTGGATCTGAACCCCCCATCTTATCCTTTGCCATCTTTGTACTTTCTGACCACTAGAGCCCATTGCAGCAGCCACCATATCAATCCACCTGGTCAACAGTCTTCCTCTCCTTCGCAGACCCTCCAGCCTTCCCAGCATCATGTCCCTTTCCAAAAAATAGCCCCTCCTAGCAACATGCCCAAAGTATGTGAGGTGAAGCCTCATCATTCTTGCCTCCAAAAAGCACTCCAGCTTCACCCTCTCCTAGACATACCTGTTTGTTCTCTTGGCCATCCATGGGGTGCTGGTGCTCTTCTCCAGCACCCCAGCTCAAAGGCATCAACTCTCTGTCATCCCTAAGAGGTTGTGTTAATTTATAATTTGGTCCACGCAAGATCCCAATTTGGATGCAGTGCTTGGTCTTGTCATTAGCACTTTCTGTAATTGGAACATCTGGAATAGAGTTCAATGCGTGACTCTTTCCATTCCCTGGCTGAAGGCGGAAGAGGACACATGTCGCCCAGGGTTCCCAAACAGAAACTGATAACAATGCTAGCTCTAATTTTTTCCTTAAAAAAAACCCTAACCCACTGTTTTGTTCAGAGAGAAGCCTTTTGTTGTGTTCCTCCCCCGTAATTGGCAGTGATTTACGTAATTGATCCTTTAAAACAAAAACCTAGAAAATTAGAATTTCATTTTAAGCACATCTGGAGTACATCTGTCTAGTGTGAAGAATTTTCGCTGTTCTTGGTGGTTCTGGTATGTGGGAGAAGAATTTTCTCCCTGCCCTGCCCTTTTTCCTCTCCTTGCCCATCTTCATGCCCTCCTCTCGTTACCACAGGTATACCCACAGTGGCTCCACCCACGGTCCGGCCGACTCCCCGCCCTGATGTGACGCCTCCCTCTGTGGGCACCTTCCTGCTCTATGCCCAGGGCCAGCAGATTGGCTACTTGCCCCTCAATGGCTCCAGACTTCAGAAGGATGCTGCCAAGACTCTGTTATCACTGCATGTAAAGTGGATTCTTCTTATGGGGCAGGGTCCAGATAAAGCTTGAGAGGGCACCATGGAGGCCACTTCTCAGGGCAAGGGACAAGGAGGGAACGCCAGGGTGGTGGGAAGGGGTGTTCTAGGCTGTAGTCTCTCTTTATGGGCCTGACCCCACCCTTGCGCAAAGCAGACCAGTCTGTGGCTGAGTGTCACCCCTGACCGACCAAGTCCACTTGCCCAGCTGCTTCACAGCTTCAGCCATGTGGAAAGAGAAGTACAGATGTATTTGGAGGCAATGGAGACGGGATGATGTTTGGAGGAAGAATAGTCAGGATTCCAGCCAAAGTCCCCAGAGTTCATCCGTATCAGAGATTCACCGTAGAGATTGTGAGAATCTGCAGCAGTCAGCTCTCTATGGTTCCTGTGATGGAGAAGCCCCAAACGGAAATCAGTGAATCAGAAATCAGCTAACTGCTGCTCCTCTGTTGCCGTCCCCTCACCTCCCATCTTGGTCCTGTGTAACGTGGTATTTTATGGAGCTCTGGTGGTGGAGTCCAGAGAGAGTTGCACTGCTAACCCTGAGGTGGTGCATCCCCAGCGGTTCAAATACACCGGAGGCTCCGTCCAAGAAAGATGGGCAATCTCTCATGAGAACTACAGCCTCAGAAGACCCAGTTGAGAGTAGGCTCAGTGCAAGAAAGATGGGCAATCTCTCATGAGAATTACAGCCTCAGAAGACCCAGTTGAGAGTTAGCTACTTGAGGGCACTGAGTTTTACCTTACTTGCTCTGACTCTGCTATAGAGAGAGGCAGATCTGGGGAGAGTCAGAGGCTGAGCGGGGCCTGAGCTTTTCCAGGGATGGATACTTGTGCTTCCTGAATCAGCAGCATCTCTGTAGCCATGGCACCACACTTTGGATAAAGGGATTTCTTCTTTAGAATGGTGGAACAGAGCTGACACAATGGTTTATCATCCAATTCCATTTCTCAATTTCATGTTCCAGGTACTCGCTAATCTATGAGGAAGAACAGTGGTGGTCATGATTATTGACATTTACTTCTGTCACTGAGGGAACTCTATCTCGTTCTATATACATATAAAAGCAACTGATATTCAGGAAAAAAGAGATATATGTCTTTTCTTTTGAAGCATTGAGCTTCCACCCTACCTCATCAAACACCAGCATGTTATTTTGTAAACGTGTCTCTTGAAGGGTTCGAAAATAAGAAATTGCAAGCACCTAAGGCTAACCATCTGTATTTCTGGAAGTGCCCTTTGATGAGGTGGGGTAGTGGTAGCAGAACTTTCCAAGAAGTGGGACATGATTTATAAGCACATCTTGGAAAAATTTACATAAACTGAGACTTTGTTCCTCCAAGAAGTTTTGAACTCGTTATGTAAGTTAATGATTCCCATGAATCCTGGGGTCATGGAAATTTATGTGGATGGGCCTTCTTGCCTGCAACAACTGACTTTCTAATCTTCATTTTCAAATGAAATTGTGTTTTAAAATGAAATTGTAGTTGACCTCCATGTCCCCCAGTATAAGTGGCCCACTTTTACACAGGAGTCAAATCTTGCTTTTTATACTGGTTTTTTATTGCTGACTCCTCTCTTTGTGACAGAAGTTGAGCCAGGCCCCCAGGGGCTTGGTTGGGTCATGAGCGTGGGGACAGCCAGATTGCCTCTTGCTGTCAGCTCTGCACATCTGCTGGGTTGGAAGAAGAATGAAGCAGTTAAGGAAAGATCTCAGACTCAGCATTTTCACAAAGACTGCCATTTAATTAGAATGTCTCTGCAATAAAAAGAGGAGACAGAGGATGAGAGCCATCAATTCCCTTTCTTTAACCCATCAAATTACAGCCATTCTTTTATACACGAATTTTACTTCATCTGGATATAGCAAGCAGGGTGCAGGTAAGGCCGATCAGACTTCAGGGGAGAGCTCTCATCCCAGTCAAAGGGTGAGAGAGTTGATTTTTGTTTTCATTAAGTTGGCAGACTTTAGAAAGGCTTTTCCAAAGAGAGGCTGGTAACATTCGAAAAGGGCCAGTTTTTATCCAGTAAAATACTAAAAGCTCTTTTTCTGAGACTAAGTTTTGTCCCTTAATCCTTGTAAAGGCTGGGTTTTTTTCTCCCTTATAAAATTATTTTTGTTTCTACCGTCAATAGTAATATTGAAGTACACTCTCACACCAAAGGTAGACAGTTTGAATTCACCAGATTCTTCAGGGGTAAAAAATGGGCAGTTTCCTCCTGTGCAATTGATTTAAAGCTTCTGAAAACCCACTTGGAGGGTCAGCTAATGTCCATTCTGACTTGATGTCAATGAGCGTGTTTGTTAATTATTATTATTATTTTAGTTATTATCTCCAAAGTACTGAAGAGCAGTGGTGTCTCTCTGGAGACTAAGGTGCATTTGATACAGGCCATGGTCTTCACAATCACTTGTTATGCATCAGAGAGTCAGACAATGACCAAGGAGGATAGAAGGAGAATTGATGCCTTTGAGCTGTGGTGCTGGAGAAGAGTATTGAGAATACCATGGACTGCTAGGAAAACAAACAGATTTGTCCTGGAAAGGGTTAAACCGGGTGGCTCCTTGGAGGTAAGGATTCTGAGGCTCTGTCTAACATACTTTGGACATGTTGTGAGGAGAGACCGGTCCTTGGAGAAAGACATCATGCTTGGGAGGGCGGAGGGACAGCGCAGGAGGGGAAGGCCCTCTATGAGGTGGATTGATTCAGTGACTGGGATAATTGGGATGGGAGTGTCAGAGACAGTGCGATTGGCACAGGACAGAGCAGAGTATAGGGCTGTTGTACACGGGGTCACTATGAGTCGCATGCGACTCGACGGCACATAACAACAACAACAACATACAAATTAAATGGAGGCAAAGATGATTAAGCTTTGTCTCACATACTTGGGCCTGTTGCTAGAAGAGCCTATTCCTTGGAGAGAGACATCATGCTTGGAAACGTGGAAAAATGGAGAAAGAGAGGAAGACCCTCAAGCCACGTGGATTGACACATTGACTACAGCAAAGTGTGTGGGGTGTCAGAGACTGTGAGGATGGTACACAACAGGACAAGGTTCAGATCTGTTGTTCATAGGTTCTCTATGAGTTGCACTTGATGGCATCCAACAACAGTATAATAATTACTGACTAGGACATTTGCCAAGGCATTTTGGTTAAACCTTCTCATAACTGAACCTCCACCAGGTTTCCAGAGTCTATCAATTACATGGAAGAAGACTGCCCATCTTTGGATTGCTCCATCCATGGAGCTGCTGATTCCCTACAGACTAGGCCACCAGAGCTCCCTGTTGTTATATTCATTTTACGAATCACTAAACCAAAGTATAAAGAGGTTAAGTGACTAAAGCCACACAGTAAGAGGCCAAGCCTGGCTTTGAGCCCAGGAAGTCTCTGGCTCCACAATGCACATGGCCAACCCTCTGCTTGACAGCCCACAAGAGCACAGTGTGGTTCTGTTCACTACAGCCATGCATGAATGAGGAAGGTGAGAGTGAACTTCGAGGAAATCCAGGGTTTCCTAACTCTTCCACATCTCTGTCTACAAAGGGTTCCATAGTTGTAGGGATTGACTATGACTGCCGGGAAAGAATAGTGTACTGGACAGATGTTGCTGGACGAACAATCAACCGTGCCAGTCTGGAACCAGGAGCAGAGCCAGAAACCATCATTAACACAGGTCAGTAGCTTCTAACTTAGAAAAAGTAAGTCTACATTTCATTCTATTACATTGAAGTTACTTGCATATTTTATGAAGTCACTTGCCTATTTTATGCCAAAGTCTCATTTCTATTTTTATCCAACAACTTATGTTAAGTTGGATAAGTTGTTGAACTTTCAACACCTTATGGTAACCTTTATGTAAGTGAAATCGTGTTTTAGGGACGGATTTTTTTAGAAGTAGATCACCAGATCTTTTTGGCTGAAACCTCCAGGCTTTTTGGTCAGTACCTAGCTTGTGAACCAATTGCAGTTCCCAATGAAGGTTAAGTTCTGTGCAAACTATGATAGTGAGCTGCACAGCCCCTCAGTAAACCGACACATTTGCACATAAGGAATGAGGCGAGGAAGACCAGAAGAAAGCGTTCAGGGTTTGGCAGTAGTTATGCTGCATGCCCCCAGCACTTTGTCTGCCTGCAGCCAATCAGGCTGGAGGGATGGACACTGGGGAGCTCTGGAGTCATAGTGCGAAGGAGCTGCGCTTCCAGCCCTGAAGACACATGATTTGAAAGGCAGAAAAATAATTCAAGCTTGGTTTTTCTCTTCACCTTGTTCTTGGGACTCAAGACACACATCAATAATTTTATTTATTCTTTTTTTTAAGATGTTCAAACACAGTAGACTTCTCTGCCTCATCTTCACCCTCAATACCCCGCAATGCTCGAGCCCTGCCTTGTTTTCTTTTCAGGTCTGATAAGCCCTGAAGGACTTGCCATCGACCACTACCGTCGAACCATGTACTGGACAGACAGCGGCCTGGATAAGATAGAAAGCGCCAAGCTGGACGGCTCTGAGCGCCGGGTCCTCTTCCACACGGACCTGGTGAATCCCCGAGCCATCACTGTGGATCCAATCAGAGGGTCAGCTGGGTCTTCCCTGATTGTCTTGTTACCTGTCAATTCCTGAGTTGAAGCCTCTGAATTTTAAATGCAGTGTGGGGAGGGTCAGAACAAGAGCATGGAAATCAAGTTCATTAACAAATATTGAGTATTCACTAGGTGCCAGGCATTGTTTAGGCAAATATAAGGTCTGTTCTATTTGATGCTTTTTATTCTAATAGGGAAGTAAAAAGTAGGAAGAAAAACTAATTGGGCCGTGATGTGACACATCAGAATTCAGTGCTGTGAGCGTGACCCCACTGCTTTAGATCAGCTATCAGGCAAGGCAGTGTTTCAACTGGGAGGGAAGTGAAGTCTCTGTCCACAGCACAGAAAGACTGCTTTTTTTCCTAGGATCTAGCCCTATCATATAGCATAACGAGGAACACAATGCCAGAGACGTCAGGTTTTTTAGCCTGGGGGCCCCTTTGCAGAGTGGCTTTCAACACAACATCTACTTTGCCTCAGCAAAGCGAGCAACTGAGGACCCTTCAGAGAGAGAAGGCAGAGTCTTTTTGAAACTTAGTATTGGAAAAGACATCCTATCACTTCTGCCACATCTTGTTTGCTAAAAACAAGTCTCTAAATGCAACCCACCCTCAAGAGGACTTCTTCCAAAGTGTCCCTTCTTGACAATCTTCATCTTTGATTTATCCACAGCAACTTGTACTGGACGGACTGGAACCGAGAAGCTCCTAAAATTGAGGTGTCTACATTAAATGGAGAAAACAGGAGAATTCTAGTGAACAAAGACATTGGGCTACCTAATGGCTTAACATTTGACCCCTTCTCCAAACTGCTCTGTTGGGCAGATGCAGGTAATGCTACTAATGGGCTCCATAAATGACCCTTAGCTACAGAAGTGCTGTTACTAGAACAGATTTTACTTACTACAAAGGTTAAATCCTTTGTGTTCAGATTATAGCAAAGCAAGTACTGTTTCTTTGTTAAGCCTGTAAATTTTATTTAAAGAACACTGTGTAATAACTCATACAATGAATTTTGGATTTTGAGTTAATAGGAGGCTGTTCTTTTCCTCCTTTTTTCCCTTTTGGGCATGTTGCAAGGAGGTATTCTCAAGCTTCTCTTTGAAATCATCTGGCTAGTTTTCTTCATTCCTACATGTTGCTTTAGCTTCTCCAACTCCTTTCTTCAGATAGAATTGTTTCCTGGTTATTCCTTCGGGTCCATCAGGTGATTTCCATGTGCATAATTGCTATTTAGGGTTTTTTTTTTTAAGAAAGGTATCTTCAATGAATAGTTGGGAGTACAAAATTCTAGCATCTCTAGTTTATTTCTGTTTTCTAATATGAATCCTTCTTTACTTCTCATGGTGATTGCATTCCAATCACCAGTAATTATGACTGTGTCTTGATTTGCATGTTCAATTAGTCTTCAATTCCTTTATCTTTTGTTTTAGTGGTCAGTATATAATTTTGAAGAAGTGTCAACAGTTCTTCCTTGTATATGTATGGTTATTACCTTATCACCGAAAGCATTTTACTTCCGGATACATGTTGAGATGGATTCCCACCCCCGCCCCCATGGAGCAGCTGGTAGATTTGAACTGTCAACCTTTTAGTTAGCAGCTGAGTGATTAACAGCCAAACTAGAAGGGATTTTTTGGGGGGGATGGGGGGAGGTGTTTGAGATGTTCTTAAGCAACACCATTTCTCTACAATTAGTTATTCCCAGCAAAGTAAATTATGATTGGCTAACTCAAAATAGCCAAACTAGCCCATTTCAGCTTGTTAATGCCTAGGATAAAATGTTAAATTTCATTTTTAGTAACTTCCAATTTCCTAGATTCATAGTTCATACATTCCTTTGTTCTGATTATTAGTGAATGTTTGTACTTTTTCCTTATTTGGAGCCATGATTTGTAAACTGTGGAAAATGCTACATCATAAAGGTTCTTGTTGGTTGAAAAGGTTTTACACTTGTCAGAACTACATTGAAAATATAAGGAGGCATAATACCATTTTAAGGGCTTTTTTGTTTCTTCCCTAGAAAATATTGAAATTTTGGTAAAAAGGCTGTTGTAGGTACTATAATTGCTATACTGTATTGCTTAAAAGGACACGTATTTACCTACATATTACCAGTTGGAGTCCTGGTAATGGAGGTGTTAAGTGCTCAGTTACTAACTAAAAGGTTAGCGGTTGGAACGAACCAGCCTCTCTTCAAGACAAAGATGTCCTGACAGTCTGCTCTCCAAAATTTATAGCTTTGGAAACCCGATGGGCAGCTTTTTCCTGTTTTACAGGGTTGATGAGTCCGAACAGCAGTGAGATTGGTTTGGGCTTATAATTTTCCAACTAAGACTTGATATATACTATAGAAAAAGGCTTCTCTCTGGTCTGCTCTAGGAGAAATTTCAGTCAATTCTTTCCCCACCCCCCAAAAGTAGTATTCAGAGTTTGGAATATATTAAAAACTAGGACTGATTGAACTGGTTGAGAGCTAGTACTAAAGCAGGAAATTTTAGCTGCTTTTTATGTAAATAAATGCTGTATTCAGTCTTCCCAATCCCCTGCCATGCATCTGAGCCAGACAATGAATGAGGATTACAGGAAAAGAATCAAGGCCTTTGAGCTGTGGTGTTGAAGGACATGTTGTTAGGGCTAGAGCTTATGAAGGTAATAATCATGCTTGGAAAGATGGTCAGTGAAAGAGAGGAACACCCTCAACAAGAGAGACTGATAGTGTCTGCAACAATGAGCTCAGGTATGTCATGTATGTTGGTGGCACAGGGAGGAAGGCAGACCTGTTTTTTTATAACATACTCTGGGCATGTGGCCAGGAGGGACCAGTCCTTGGAGAAGGACATCAGCCCTGGAAGGGTAGAGGGACAGCGCAGGAGAGGAAGACCCTGGATGAGATGGACTGACGCAGTATCTGGGGCAATGGGGGATTAGATGTGTCAGAGTCAGTGAGATAGGGCAGGGTTCAGAACTGTTGTACATTGAGTCGCTGGCGACTCAACAGTACATTAAAAACAAGGTTGAATACTTGATTTGATAGCACTTAATTTTTATGCAGTAAAATTCTAGGTTTTCTATTGTAACTGTTTTCCTAGAGAAACAATCTATATGCAAAAGAGCTTATTTTTCTCCCTAACATAAGACTTATTTTCTCTTCTTAAAGGAACCAAAAAACTGGAGTGCACATTACCTGATGGAACTGGGCGACGTGTCATTCAAAATAATCTCAACTACCCCTTCAGCATTATTAGTTACGCTGACCACTTCTACCACACAGACTGGCGGAGGTGAGCACAACCCTCACATCTGAACAAGACTGAAAAGGCCAACTGTTCTGGAGCACACACCAGTCTCCCCCAAATCAATATGTAACTTTCACAATTAGGTCCTCTACTGAGGTTCTCATTCTCATTAATAGCACCCTTTAAACTTCTTTTAAAGTTATGCTTTTTCTTAACAGAAATTTGATAGCATTGCTCACATGTAGCTTAGATTATAAAAGTTTAATGATCTAAAAAAATGATATTAACCCAAATCCAATCTTAAGAAATTAAGACTGCTCAACATTTTAGATGTATTGTAGTTTTAGTTTTCATTTTTTGAAATTGTGATGTTACCATTAAATATTATAATTTAGATGGTTTTTATGTGCCGTTGAGTCTATTACTCATAGTGACCCAATACATAATGGATCTGAACCTTGTCCCATCCAGTGAAAGTACCCTCATTTCTTATATACTTGAGCCATGGTTAGTCATTGTGTCAATGCATCTTATTTTTCTCAAATAAGGAGCTGGAAGTCTTAATTATGCCTAGTCCCTTTTTACCATTTAAAATTTTAAATTGGTTTGGCCGGAAGTCATGGCATTCTTTAAAAAAAAAAAAAAAAAGATCTTCAAATGACTAATAGGCAGCAAGATGAGAACCACTGATTTAGGCCAGTCATTCCCAGATTTTAGCATGCACTAAGACTACCTAAAAGGTATGTTAAAACACATTCTAAGGAATTTATGATGCAGTAGATCTGAGGTAGGGTCAGAGCATATGCATTTCTAACAAGTTCTCAGGTGACACTGGTCTGGGAATTTGAGAATCAAGATACAAACAATTCCTCTAAGAAGTCAAAATGTATTTTGTTAAGTTACCTTTGATTTTCTCCATTAAAGCAGCTTCTATCAAACCTTTTATTTAGTCTGATGTTATAAATGTACTTTTTCTTTGTTCCCAGGGATGGTATTATATCAGTAAATAAAGAGAGTGGTCAGTTTACCGACGAGTATCTTCCAGAGCAGAGATCACATCTCTATGGAATAACTGCAGTCTATCCCTACTGCCCAGCAGGTAATGAACATTCTGCAAGGTGCTCCTCTGGATTAACAGGGAGGGGAATTGATTTGAGTGCCCTTGACCCTGAGTCTGGCAGCTGTGACATGGCTACCACTGCCCTCTTCCACTAGAATGCCACCTGGAACTGAAATAGTTAATGGCAAACATTGTTTCCTGGAGGTCTACTTAACTGACAAAACCCAACAGCATATTGGGGTATCTTCCCTATGAAAGATTTGGTATTGCAAGTGAGCTACAAAATTTTCACCAACTCTCCCTCTCTCCTTTCATTTTCCCTCACAGGAAGAAAGTAATGTACATTCTGAAGGAGGACTTGGCGTTTACAATCACAATCTTAACCCTAAAGAACATTTATGCAATCACTACAAGGTGGAGAAAGTGAAAGAAATTGGCCATCAGAAGTTCCTAGATGTAGACAAGATGATTATTTTTAGTGCTAAAGACTAAGAGTATTTTGTGAAAAGTTTATACCTCAATCTTTACTACTGTATTTTTTAAAAACAGATGTTGCTATTACCAAGTTTTAAAACAAAAAGAATTTTAATTGTTGCTTATTAAAGCAACTTTTGGTAAGCATTTATATATTTAAAGGTCATTCAAGTAAGTACCAATTCAAATGTATTAAGACACTAAGTATGATTATTGCTACGGATTCTTTCTGGCCAAAAGATTAAAAGCACATGTAATCAGTATAAAATACAACTCTGAAGATCACAAGCCTTGATGTAGTTGGATAAAGCTACACAGAATCGATGGGAAAGAACCAACTTATTTATAATTTCCCAACAAAGAGTTATAAGATTGCTTTGTTTTTTTGTGGTTTCTTTTTTACCTCTGCATCAATGCAATTCTATTTATATTAAAAGGTGCTAGAACAATTAAATTTGTATTTTCAGGTTCTGTTTCTCTACAGAATTACCCACAGAAAGTAATACATTTATAAATACCAAAGATGTAACAGTTTTCAAATTTTCTAGATTACTCCAATAAAATATTTTACGTTTTCCTATGACTTGAGAATCTGTACGTCTGCATAATAAAGATGGGAGCTGACAAGTAATTTGATTAATTAGAAGGAAGACAAGTTAATTACAGCAATAAGAAGAAGAAAATCCATTTCCCCAAACTTTATTAAAGAAAAAAAAAGTAATGATGGTAGATCTCTAGAACATGGCCAATTTTCTGGGATGTCTCCCTCGAAAATGTGACATTTGATTTTCAAACACATGCCAGAAGTGTACATAGTCTCCAAGTGTACTAAGTAGATCAACAGCTGATATCCTAAATCATTCATCTTCCGACTTTGCCCAGTCTGTGGTCTGTCTTTGGATCTGCAATAATTGACTGAACAGCTACTATGGCTTCATTAATTTTTGTCTGTAGCTCCCTGAGCTCTTCTATATGCAGCAGTCGCAGAATCTGGGCAGCTTCATTAAGAACTGCATCTGTTTTGTAACAAAATAAAACTGTATTAGTAAGGGTATTGATCCCCTCAAATATTCCCAAAAATATTCTATACAAATAGTCATAATAATGTAAAACAAAGTCACTTACCTCCTGTGTCAAAACCAAGATTATGCTTGTCTAAAGCAACAGGCAAGCCCTAAAAAAAAAAAAAAAAAGCATGAAGTTATTTACAGATTAAGAATAACATTTTCTTGTATGAAACTAACAAACAGCAAACTACTCTGTTATTTGAATCCTTTTATGAATTTTTTGTTTAATTATGCTTCATGGTGAGGATTTTTCCTTCTACAACCAATTAAGGAGGAGATAATAGTCTTTAAATATAGTGGGAGGTCCCAAATCCAATCCCATCCTTTGACTTTGGACGTAGTGGCAATGCTTTGTCATGACAACTATGGAAGGAAGGCTGAAGAGAGCAGCTGCTGTCCTGTTTTAGCTACAGTAAGCAATGTACGGGGCTAATGCAATAGGACTACTTTTACTAGTTTCCCCAAGTAACTTTATGAATATGACCTATCAATTTCTAGCCTTTTACACTGTACAAAACTATTTAAAATATATAGAACAGTTCTTTAGTTATAGAATTTAATTTTCAAAAGTTAAAATTAAGTTACTGTCAGTCTAGGTAAATGCCTAGAAACCAATTAATTAAGCGCTAACTAGTCAGCACTTACAGAGACAGCGTTTAAGACTGTGACTAATGACTGCAAACTCTACAGACTTCACAGTAATGAATATATAAATAAGGACAGTTTGACCTTTCTGTTGATTATCACTATAAAGCCATAATGAATAATATTATTGCCTATGTTTTCAACATTTTAACTTCTGAGTTCTCACAAGTAAAATGCTTTGGTATTCTTTTCAAACCTATTAACGCAGATATCATTAGATTTAAAATAGCTGCTAATAAAGTACACAAATCACGTTAAGACATGCGTGTGAAAATACACTATTTAAATATTAGAAATTTCATCTTACTGGGTGGCTTTATAAAGTTGCTCTAGTGCCAGAGGTTCCGATTTTTCCTTTGTCTGCCCAAGACCAAGAAACAGCCACCCTGAAAATGCTACATGCTGCAAATACTAACTACTAAATGAGAACACTAAACCCTAATAACACAGCCACATTACGATAAACTAGTATCTTTTGAGATTTTGCAAACTAGAGCAAAGATATGTCTTCATCCGTGTTGCCTTGCAAAGTAACGGCACAATTTTGCTAAATGGATGAATGATTTTATTATACCACAACAATTTACTGTCTGTTCTGTAGTATGGATGAAATAAGCTGATGTTTCATCAAATTTCCAGTGCCTTGATTCATATATAACTAACAAGCCAAAGAAGTGCCTTTCAGATTCAAATGCATTGCCCTGGCATTAGTTATAACATTTAAGGCTGCTGTGCCTGTCTATGGAGTCAGAGGACAGAAGGCATTATTTCAGGAACAAGAGCAAAAGGAGGACTTGAAATCCAGATAGTCACTATGCTGAGATTCTCAATATAGCACTGTCACAGCAGGAAAGGGGTGCCATCAGACATCTACAGCTGTTGATACTAACGTCTGGGAACATTCTTTGCACTGCCCCACAGCCAATGAACAATGGAATATCTGAATTTCTCGTAGTGTTGATCTTAAAAATTTTCTAATAAAGTATTATTTTTCATATAAAGGAAACTAAGGGAAGATTAAGTGGTATAATTATAGAATCTTCCTATGTAAAGAAAGTTATGATGATACCAAGAAAAGAGAGACAGTTATAAACTCAGAAGATAAAAGTTAGCTTACAGAGTAATCAAAAAAGAAAACAAAAGAAATTAAAAAACTCAGTAAGCACAAAATTAAATATATGAAGTGAAAAGTCATAACAAAAAGAACTCAGCACAGAAAACGAAGCAGAACAAAGAAATCATCAATATCATCACACAAACACAGCACAAGACATCAAAGTTCATAATTAATGATAATTATATTAAATGTAAATGTTTAAATGTACTAGTTAAACAAAGAAAGTGGATATGAACATGTGACCCATCAATATGTTACCTACTAGAGATACATACACCTTAGACACAAGGACATAAATAAGTTAAATATCAAAAGATGGTAATCACCATCTTTGGTAAAACAGACTTTAAAAGAAACAAGGCAAGACATTATACAATAATGAATGGATCAATCCACCAAAAGACATAGTCACACTGAATATTTATGCATGCAATGAGTGAGCTCCAAAACACATCTAAAGAATTCTAACGGCACTGAAAAGAGAAAACTGTTAATCCTACAAAAATACTAAGGAAACACAAAGCACTTTCCATGACTAAGAGAACTGGAAACTCAACAAAGATCTAAAGAAAATGACATAACTAACTTGCCGTTATAGACACAGAACACATCGCCGAATACCAGCAGTGTACATTTTTTTTCAAAGCACACAGATCATTCTCCCAAGCAAATGATATATTAGGAAGGAAGTCTCAATAAATAACAAGTGTGTTCACTGTTTTCATAATCAATCAAAATGACCCAGTGAGTTTTACTGGAGCAAACACATTCAGGCATGTGTCAATTGGGCATGTGTCATGGTTTGCACTGGTGGACTTGTGGACCAGCGAAGGTAAAAAGAGATAAGTAAAAAATGGGATCAACTCTGGAATTCCTGCAAAACTTGCTTACATATTAATTTCAATCCTGTTTAAGTAAACTGCTCTCTTTTCTCTGAGCTATTCTAACAGAGTTTAAATCCATAGCAATACCAGAAAAATGGATCATACATACCTCTTTTGTTTGATTCGCTTTAGCAACTGCATCCTGCGTGAGGCGCTCTTGAACCAAAATACGAATTGCCTATGACACCAAAAAACATGGCTTTAACTTTTTAAAGACTATTTAAGTGTCTTTTCTATTGAGTCAGAAGAATAAAGTATAGCTTGTTTGATGAAATTTAGATTACCTACTTTAGTAACAAACCTTCTATTAAAAATTTTTAAAAACAACTAAATTTGCATACTTTTGATATTTAATAAAAATGCTCATGATAATGAAAACATTTTTTAAAAATTAGTTAATACATGTGCAAGATCCACAGGAGAAGGGATGGGCAATCTCCTCCCATGCGATTAAATGCCTCTGAAAACCCACAGAAGATCAGCTATGGGTCGGTTCTGACTCAACACCAACAACAATACACATGTACAGCACAAATGCTTGAATAAATGCTTGAACAAGATACGAGGTAAAAGAGAGGTCTCCATCCCACTCTCAAGTCTCAGATACCTAATTCTTTCCAGAAGAACCATTACCAGACTTTCATGTACACTTAACAGAAACAAATTACAAGCATTCACACGTGTGCACTAATTTTTATCACAAATTTTAGCATATTACAGAAACTCCTGTACCTTGATTCCCCTCCCCACCACCACCACCCAATTTAGTACAGGTTCCCTGCTCTGTTCTGAGGACTGCTTACTGGTGCAAGTAGAGGTCTTGCATAAGCACAATCAAGTGTTCTGGATTTCCCATTTTCCTCAATGTTAGCCATAATTTGTTATGATCCAAACAGTCAAATGTCTTTGCATAGTCAATGAAGCAAAGATAGACATTGTTCTGGTACTCTTGATTTCTGCCAAGATCCATGTGACACTGGTAATATGTGTA